CGCAACTATGTTTTTAGTAGGTGCGTAGTGAAAATCAATACTTGCAAACTCAAATCCGACGACATTTTGCAACACAAATCCCAATTATTGCTGTTGCTAAACATCCCATAGCAGGTATTAAATATTCTCAAGATAATTGATTTATTTCATACTCTCATAATTAATTCCTAAGAAAGCAATCTTATCTTTCACACTAAAGCCATCGAACGAGGTGCTTTAGAATATAAAATATAGATGTTGTCCAAACTCGAATTTTGAAATTCTGTTATGGCATAGAAATAAGCGCAAATGGGAAAATCTTCCACCAGAACGTCGTACACCTTCCGGCCATACATTCCGATTCCATCGATTAGCATTTAGAGGTGCTGAAGTTGCCATCAATCAAAAATTCAACTACACTAGTGCATATGCAATGGATCCAAATCAAACTGGTGTGACTTTAAATATACTCATTACGCCGGATAATAATGCAAATTATTGCGACGAGAATGGGATGAAGATATTAGGAAGAATAAATATTGATTTATCAGACTCACGAGAACAAAAAAGATTGATGGGGGTTTACTTTTAAAAAACGAGTGGTGGAAGTGGAGTTAATACTGACATTTGGTACTATGGAGATTACGGCTACAGCAATCAATAAAACGACAGGGAGGTTATATGAATGCGTTTTCTGTCTGGAATTTTAATTAATTACCGTATTCCTCCGAAAATAAGCACCCTTTTTTTGCACTTAATGCTGGCCGTGATTGTCGTAAAGTGGGCCAAAGTTGGCATAGTGTGGTCAGGGGTGCTTATTTTCGGGGGAATACGGTACTTTATTATCTTCTGGTAAAGAATTCTTTTTTTTTTTATCGGATATTGTTTTCAAAGTACATATTATTTATAATATTATTTATAATATTCATTCATAGTTATTATTCATAGTTTTATTGTAAATGACTTGGAAAACTATCTGATAAACAATATGTTTGAGATGCAAATAATTAATTTATTTTAATAATTGAATATTAATAACTATTTTAACTAATCTTTATCATATTACATGTTAGATATAGCGCACATCACTTAAAAAATATATTAATTTAAAACTTTTAATGTGCACATTGTGCTCGTAATTTTAAAGCTATGTGCATTTTTTTTTTTAATGTGCGCTCATCCACTTCCACACATTAATTTTAGACGCTGATGGGACTTTAAAATATCGACCCTAGCATGACTATCAAGATCAGTTACATAATCTGTATTTAAAATTTGGCTACCAAATTCTGACAGTTAATATTAAATGTATAATCAGGTACAGTTGTTAGGCGAAACTATTTTGCGCAAATGGCGAAAGACGAAACCTAAACCTGGCGAAAGTCGAAAGTGGCGAAACTCTGGCGAAAGGCGAAACCCCTGGCGAAAGGCGAAATCCCTGGCGAAACTGGCGAAACCTGGCGAAACCTCGGAGAAAGTCAAAACTCAGCGAAGATCAAATCCTCTAAGACTTTGGAAAAGACTAAGCCGTGTTGGTGAAGGAAAATATTTTGCGTAGCTATTAAGTACAGCACGTAGCTTATATAAAAAATGTATTAAACAAGGCGATAGCTTTTTGTTTGTATATTCGAGTACTATTAAAAGAACATTAAACTTCAAACTTTTGATGAAAATCATTCTGTATGGCTTACTGTTGTTAGGCAAACTATTTTTGGAAAATGTCGAAAGAAGAAGCTGGAGAAATTCTGGCGAAACGGTGAAGCTCTGGCGGAACGGCGAAATCCTGTCGAAACCATTGGTAAAGATGAAACCCCTAGAGAAAGTCAAATATCAAGTCCTCTAGGACTTCAAAATGACTGAGCCATGTTAGTAAATCAAAATATTTTGCGCGTGGCTAATAAGCATAGTATATGATTTATATAAAAAAATGTACAAAAAACAAGTAATGTAATAGCTTGTTGTTTGTATTTGAATAATATTAAAGGAAAATTAGACCTCAGACTTTTGAACTTATAATTAAATCAACTCATCCATATAAAAGAAATTTATCTAAATATTTAAATAAATTTTATTGTTACATTGTTAAGATTTTTTCTCTTTAACAATTCCTTTAAGTACCATGCATGTGTAAGTACAGTCAGACCTCTCTAAGTGCACGCCCTTGGGACCACAATTTAACAGCGTGCATTCAGAGAATGCAGCCAGACCTCTCTAGGTGCACAATTTAACAACATGCATTTAGAGAATAATAAGAAAAAGTGCACTTACAGTGGTCAAGTATATATTTGTGCAAGAATCTGAGCGTGTATTTAGAGAGGGTGTGCACTTAGAAAGGGTGCGCTTAGAGAAACTTGACTGTAGTTCGTTAACATTATTATCACTGACAATTATTTCCGATTCTCTAATTTATCTAGCCCTAAGTCTCAGGGCTAACTTTAAGGAAATAATTGCTATGTCATTTACCCATGATAATAGATCAAATGTAAAATTTAGATCGTTGATTAAGAAGCATCGTATATGATAGCACAATTATACATTTATGTGTCAAATTAAATGCTAGGGTTAGATAAGAGCCTATGCTAAAAGTAGTGATTGTATCCATTTCGAAATCCAAACCTGGTCATATGTGGGTAGGTTACCCAGGTAGTAATTTTCATGAATACAGTTTTTACTGTTGTTGCTTTCTTTTCTGTAATTCAGCTTCCTGAAATGCAATTTCTCAGATTTTATCATTCCAATTTTCTTTTTTCAGACAAAATACATTTGGGATCTTTTATTTATCAATATTCACTTTACTGACAGTTTAATTTATCGATAGTTTAACTCACAACTAGTTTATTTTATTGATAGTTATTTTACAACAAAGTAATTCCGGCTATTGCCGTTAGGTCGGTTTAGAATTAAAATTAAGGTTAGTATAATTTTTAAAAAACCTGTTGATAAAATATGTTATTAGTAAAACAAGAGTTAGTAAATTGATAACATAAATAATACATATCAAATATATATATAGTAACAAAAAGATTAATAATTATATAAAATTGTTTTGACTTTCTTTAATTACTTTCTATTCTTGCCTTTTTTACTAGATTTAACACCTTCTACCAGTTTCTCAACCTTTTATTAGTTTCGCCAGTTTCGCCAGTTTCGCCACCTTTCGCCAGTTTCGCCATTTCGCCATTTTAATTTTTTTTTGGCGAAACCTCAAGGTTTCGCCTAACAACACTATAATCAGGTAAAGATTAAAGAATACATTCGAAAAAAATTCTTATCAAAAAAAAAGAAAAAAAATTATGCGAAATCCAAAGTTAAATAAAGATCTAAAAATTATAAACATTTAACTAACAGTGTTGATAATAAAATGATTTTTAATGAAGTATTAAAATAACTAATTGAGTGCTAAGAAGCTCGCATAAATGGTATAGCACACACCCACCAAGATTCAAAGAAGTATGCACTGTGTTTTCGCGATGTTCCACATCTACAAATTTTCAAAGAAGTCAGTGTAGTATTCTTGCAAAGCGCATCTGCTAATGCTTTTCCACCTTCCATATTGATTACATTCCATTGAAGATTTAAGCCTTTTAGCGTGGTGTTCCTGCAAAGCGCATCTGCTAATGCTTTTCCGGCATCTGTTCTAAGAAGATTATGACTAAGATCCAAATAAGTCAGTGTGGTGTTCTTGCATAGTGCATCTGCAAATGCTTTTCCTCCTTCTGATCCAAGGTTGTTACAAGAAAGTTTTAAAGAAATCAGCGTGTTGTTCTTACAAAGTGCACCTGCCACTACTTTTCCTCCTTCTGATCCAAGAGAATTATTGCTAAGATCCAAAGAAATCAGCGTGTTGTTCTTACAAAGTGCACCTGCTAATACTTTTCCTCCTTCTGATTCAAGAAAATTATGGCTAAGATCCAAAGAAGTCAACACGGAGTTCTTGCAAAGTACATCTGATAATGCTTTTAGTCCACTAAACCCGAGTCCATTCCCACAAAGATTCAAAGATGTCAGCGTGGTGTTCTTGTAAAGTGCAACAGCTATTGCTTTTCCTCCTTCTGGACCAAGTTTATTATCAGAATAACCCAAATAACAGTTACCAAGTTTCAAATATTTCAGAGTATTATTCTTGCAAAGTGAATGTGCTAATTCTTTTCCAAAATTTGGTCCAAGATCATTAGACCTTAGATCCAAAGAAATCAACGTGGCGTTCTTGAAAAGTGCATTAACTAATGCTTTTCCTCCTTCGAATCCAAAATTATTATTGCTAAGGTTCAAAGAAGTCAACGTGGAGTTCTTGGAAAGTGCATCTCCTAATGCTTTTCCTGCTTCATATCCAAGAATATTATCACTAAGGTTCAAAGAAGTCAGAGTGGTGTTCTTGCAGAGTGCATCTGCTAATGCTTTTCCTCCTTCTGATCCAGGATAAGTAAGAGATCCAAAGAAGTCAGTGTGACGTTCTTACAAAGTGCATTTGCTAAAGCTTTTCCTCCCCCTGGCCC